GGCAGAAGAACGCCTGCCTTGCGACGCTGCTGTGGCACCAACCCCAAAAGGAGCGCAGCGGCTGAAGTAGGCTCAGGGCAAAGCATAGCATGTGTCTTGGAGGTACACAACCTTTTTACAGCCCTGATCGGTGCCCAAGACAAGCCTATAGACCTAGCCACCCTTTAATTGTGGGTGTTGGTTAGGCACCCCCTGCCCTAGGCCGACCGGGCCGAGCCCAGCAACCAGCCCATGCTGGCAGATGCCAGCGCCAGCAACGCGGCCTTGCCGCCCCCGCCGCCTGAGCCAAGGTCAGGGAAGAGTTGGGGCAGAGTTCGTGCCATTGCTTTTGGAAATCTGTTGTTGTTGTTGTTGTTTTTTTTTTTGACGTCCCTTATATCCTATACCTATCATTAAAAGAACAGGGAAAGACTTGTACACTTGTTGGGTCTAGTTTCGCTATGCGCCATCTCAAAAGCCGCCAGGCAGCTTACGGGTGATGTGGCGCTAGCATTGGAGGGTGCACGCCTGCCCGTGGGGGAGCAGAGGGAAGATGAGGGCGGGGAGCATCGATGACGCCCTTGGTGGAGGAGAGTAGATGGAACAAGTTACCCCAGGTGGTGAAATTGGGATTGCGAGTGGGATTGGTGCCATCTACTCTGAAACCACTGTAACAGAGTAAATACCCCCTGCATGTTATCCCCTGTGGTGTTTTTTCTGCCCAAGGATTGGTCTATGGTACCCTGGCCTCTATGATTTCCAAGGTCGGACGGGAAGATGATGGTTAGAAAGCGATGCGGAATGGATCCCCATTGGCCCATGGTGCGTCTTGAACCGATCCTTTGATTGGAGCTTGGAAGCTGGAGCTCGCATCACCAGCTTGGGGAGTTTTGAGAAATTGCAAGGTTTAGTCAAAACAATACTCGGAAACTTACTTGTATGGAGCTGGTTTCAATCAACTGCTTCAGCTGGCTTTGATCGCGGACAGCAGTCAAGCTAATGCCAAACTACGTACACTGATCTTCAGGATTCCTCCAAGAAGGCCAATCCCTTTGGGAGGATCGTCCCCAGTTTGTTCCCTCAGATGAATCCCTAGATCTCTGGCTTTGCTGTGGGCCGCTATCATCTAAACCCTTTGGCCACCGACCCCGACCACCATCCCATGGCCTTGCAGCTCTCCGAAGAGATGGCATCGTCGTAGCAGGCCTCCCAAAGCAAGGAATTCTCGGCAGCTGGACCCAAAACCGAGATCAATGAACAGTGAACCCCCCATGATGGACCACGAGGGCTCCAACTACCTCCTGATAAGATGGCCTCAGGGGTTTGGGGGGATCTAACCACCTTCTGAGGATTTGGGACAGGAGCCCTAGGGAACTATAAACATATATACCCGAAGAATCCCTAAATCCATCTAAATCCCAAACATCGTTTAACCTCAGCAACATTTTGGGGGGTTGCGCTCATCAGATGTATGTATGCCTTCGTTAAGCCTCCATAGTTATTGCCTCAACTCCCAAGTCGCATCCCAAATCGCTACAGAGCTCCATCCCCTTCCAACCCCAACCGTACCCTCCACCCCCCCCAACCGTCTGAGGTGTTGGCCTTGACCAACCTGCCACCTCCGCCGTGCGGAGCCCCACCGGTCCGAAGGTTCGAGCTCGCCATGAGCGACCTCAGTCCACCGTGCTGGCGATTTCTTCGATCTTCGTTCACCAGGTGGCTTCGTTTACAGATTTTAAAAACATGTTGGTGGTCCAACCTAAGCAACTTTAAAATATGATGTAGATGTTCCAACTCACAAATCCCAAGCTGTTTGTAAAGAACGGGTCCTTATTCGATACAAAAGAAGAGGATCTAAAAAGGTGAAGGCCAGCTCCCCCCCCAAATATCCACTGAGACTGTTTTGCTGGCTGAAAAGACTACACTATGACTGAAAGACTGAAAAGAACAGTTCTGAAAGACTGGAGCTCCTTTTAGAAGGGCAAAACCCATGCAAAACACATCTTCTGTGTCCTCCCCCCTATTGGATCTTCCTAGCATCCGAGCCCCCTCGGTGAGTCCGTCGGTCGAGGCCCCTGAGCACGGTCAAAGCGCCGAGCATCCTTCAGCCACTTGGGCGGACTCGGCAGACTCGGTGAAGGCAGGTGGTCCAAGTAGACCCAGTGGCTGAGAACGCACAGATCCGTGTCTGGAGACCCCGAAAAAGAGCCTTAAGGCTGTGATTGCGGTGGCGACCCAGCCAACGGAGAAAGAAGTCACCAAGAAAGTTTGACCATCACGGCTTGCGCCAGCCGAATCCACCGGTGATGATGCGAAGGATCTATAGCGAATCCAGAACAGGCTGATCTAAGAAAGAAATCGTTTTCACCTCCTATAGGCTTAGGATCTATAGCCTATGAATCAACCATCATGATGGATATGAGAGACACAGATTCTCTCCCTACCAGCGGATGCAGAGTCAGACCTTTGCAGAAATTGGCAGACATTGGTGTCCACCAGTTGCCCAAGACTTGCGGTCCTTCCTTTGCTTTCCAAGGTCGAATGCGCCTCCGCCACCGGCACCAGACCAAGGTGGGCACATGAGCTGCGCGCTCACTTGCGCCCGCGCTCTTTTTAGAGAGAGAATACTCCTTGGTGACTCATGGGTGGGTCTTGTGACTCGTGGGTGAGTCTGAATTGAAGAATCATCCAACGTGCTCTTGGTACTACCGTTGGCGCCATGAACCAAGAAAGAAAACAACTTCATCTAAGATGTGCAACATCCTAGAGATACTGTATCCGGTACATTTCATTTGGAGTAGCATATGTTCATGCTGCCTTCAGGAGTAGGAGCACTCAAGGAACACCTTGTGGTGAGTTTGGCGCCCCTGCAACCATTAGACACTCAAAACAATGGACCCCTAGGACACCACATATGAGGATGATGAGGACACCGCTCAGGCTCAGGACACCCCTCAAGCACGTTCGTCAAACGGGTACCATGAGGACTTCCGTCGTCCCATATAACTGACTGGTGCGACGAGTGCAGGGAATGAGGGAATGGCTGGATGGACCAAGGTATACATCAGTGGGGGGTCAGTCATTCCCTCATTTCTCTACCAAGCACCATCAGTCTGGGAGGGGTGTGAGATGTTGGCCAAAACTCTGAGTTCACTGAGATCATCATGGACCGGACTGATGAAACATCCTACATGTGCTTGGGGGTGAAGATGTGAATAGCAGATGTACAGGATGGAAAGGCTGGTCCCAGTGTACTTTGGGTGTTTGATGGTTGGATTTTCTATTGGGTTTGTCCGGGTTTGTCATGGTTTTTGATACAAAACCCATCCTTGTTGACGTGTGCACGACTGTTGCGTACTAGAGAAAAACGGCAGAAATCCTCGACGCTCTTTTGGCCCCAAAGCAGCAACGCATATCGCTAAGACTGTCTGTTGGTGACGTCGTTTGGCAGGATCTGGACATATGCCTGGCAGGCCATGAACAGTATCAAACAGTCAAAGGATTTTGTTTACCCAAGCCCTTCAAGCAGTCCAAAGAACGGACAGTCGTTCTTGGGTGGCCTTCTACACTCATGTCACTCATGCTTTTGTTTTCCACCGGTCCTCTTCTCCTTGCCAGGCCTTCGTGGAACCTGACGCTTCGTCACCGGTCACCGGTCGTCACCCGGTGTTTCACTGAACGGGGCAGCGAAAGGGTTGGTGACCGAGCTGAGCTTAGCACGGTGATCGTCCCAAGACAGAAGGTTCTATGTGGGGGTTGTCCCGAACAGACATCTATGGTGTTTGTGTTCATTTCACTCTGACTGATGTCGAAGGAAACGTCTACCAGTTGATATGACTTAAAACAAGTAATTACACTCTGACTATCTCTGACTCATATGACCTGTAGAAGTGAAAAACCCTTTCTTTGTAAAGGACCATTGTCTTCCTTTCGCCTTTCGGGACCCCATCCACTTCCATGTTAGTGAGTGTATTTGTTTAAAGACTGCATTAAAGGCCTCGCACTGTAATATGTTGGTGCAACCTGATCCACCTTGTGATGGCAAAGCACATCAAACTCCATGAACCATGTGTATATGAGAAGCAAGTTACTCCTCATACAAGCTTCAACCTACAGTATATTTAAGGAAGCACCAACTCAAACCTCCCTCAAAGGAATGTACCTCACACGTTTCATCCCAGGTCGTCCGAGTCAATAGACCTCTATCCATATATTATCAGACCTTTGCAGATCATCCATAAGCCCTAGGGCCCAACCACCTCCGTTTCCTGAAGAGATGGTGAAGTCGCCCAAACGGGAAGAATCATTCATGTATGTTGCCCGCAAGTGAGTGCATCCAATTTGGGGTGGGCTTGGGGGGTCTAACCACCTTCTGAGGATATGGGACAGGCGCTCTAGGGAAGAATCATTCATCCCATTTCCCACTAGTCTTATCAGACGTCACGTCTTTGGATGGATGGATGGATGGATGGATGGATGGATGGGACGTCACGTCTTGCGGATCATGACGTTTCCATCCACGTTCCATCCACGTTCAGAAGAACAACAGTGGATGGTCCTTCAGTGAAGGTGGATGATCATCTCCAGTGGATGGTCCATTACTTACTGAACGTTCAAAAGAGATCGTTTCTTTCAGCTCTGCGTTTCCAACTCCCTCAACTCCCCCATCCGCAGCCATCGGTCCAACTGGACCGGCGACGGTCCACAAAACCGTTCGAACGAGCGATGGGGAAGCCGGGCGAGTCGCGAGTCGCGGGAGTCGGGTGGACTGGTCCAGTCGATGTCGCAGGTCCTTCTCGGTCAAGTGAACATACCAGCACCTTCATTTGCGGGGTCATGGTTTCGCCCCAGCCCACTGCTATCCGGGATCTCCAGCCAGGACACCCCGAAAGAAGGTCCTGGTATTGGGTTTCTGATTTGACAGGAGTAGAAGTTATAGTCATGGAAGAGTTCAACTTGAGATGGGCTGTCGCAGGTAGTAGTCGTATAGGGGCTACTGCGAGAAGCTTGTAAGACATAATATCCCGTTCATATGTTTCTTCAACCTTTGATCATGTACCACTCGGTTTGCGGTGTTTGAGGTGCACTATGTTATTCGCCGTGAACTGTTCGTGGCCTGCTCCTGCTCGCCAGATTTTGTTGAAGGGCGCCTACGTTGGGCAACAGCCAGCAGCTGAAGAGTGGTGGTGGCCAGGAGTTCATGTTTGCAGTTCACGAACTGATTTCAGCAATGACCTATTGATCAGCTGTACAGGAGCCAAATCCCTGAACTTGTCGTCGACAGACACGGCTCTCACCTGGCTCAATCACCGGGGTCCCCCAAAGCTGATTTTCGTGGTACATGCAACCTAGACATCGACTACAACAAACCTGTGGGTCCTGGAGTCTTAGAGGGACGAACCAGAGCGATTTCGCTTCGTCGCTCCGCCGTGTCATTCCCTCCGCGGCCGATGTTCACGTACTTGGAAGCTTTGCAGAAGTGAGATGCATACACACCATCTAAAACGGGAGGAGTATGGTGGAGCCTCCGTTTTTCCATGTTTTCCATGTACTTGGTAGGCACTTCATCCATCCAAGTTCCAGCTTGTGGTCGGTGGGATGCAGCTTGTGGTGAGCCTTACACGTTTGTGGTGGGCCACCTTAATGACCCGGACTTTAACATGGAACTCTGCAGCTCCTGCAGTTGCATCTTACTTTGGAACTTTGTAATGTAATGGGGTTTGTTCTCATTTGTCATGGAGAGGATAGCGCACACGCTTCTCATCCAGAAAGGTTGTTTTGCTTCACAGTACACTTAGTACACACCTATCGTGGGAATCTGGAACAAACCACACATTCGCACACACCGAAACAATTGGCAGACACGCAACCAGGCGATTCGGTCATCTTCCGTGCAACTGCTTCGTGGGGTCGCGTTCCGCCGCCCAGTGCTTTGTTGCAATCGGTGGGAGAAGAACAACAACGGCTTCAACAGGCCCGGACACTTCCCCACCCAGCCCCCTGCCCAAAAGCAGCGGCTGGAATGCTACGTTTTCGGCAGGTCAGTGAGATCCACATCGTTTGGCTATTCGACGTGGATGAAGATGAATATGTCTGAGAACGTCTGTGTCGATTGGCGACACCTCACGAAAGCTTTTGGGGGAGGATTGGCGACCCCCCCACGAAACAAGTACGAAACAGGTGGACACAGGTCAAAACGGACCTGGACCATGTGAACGCGTGTCATGCTCGGAACTCGAAAGAAGTACCGGGCTTGACCAGGGCCGACCGCACTTCGCGGGTTCGAACGCGGCGGGCTCCACCGGTGGAGGCGCTTTACATGGGCATGCTGGCAGATGGAGGTGATGTGGCGGAGTTCTTCGTGTTGGGAGCCCAGGAGGGCTTCTGTGGATGAAGGGCCCTTCAGGGAGGGCTATACATACTCACCCTACACACCCTAGACATTCAGGGATGTGCATGGAGGGCTTCACATCCCCAGAGACCTCACACGCCTTCGCCCACACTTCTCGGCCACAGGTCTGGATTACACGTGCCGCGTGCGCCGTAACGCGCCGTCGCACACCCCACAGGGGGAGTTACGTTGGATGTTTGGACATCCCACAGTCATTCAACGACCGACCCCGGATGGTTGTGAATAACCATGGTTTCAGAGGACCAATGGCACAATCCCCAAGTTGGGTGGTTTATATGGACCCCCGGTCTGTCTAAGACATCTTTGGGTGTGTGCCATCTACTCTGGAACTCCCTGTAACCGTTAAGCTTTATATATCCTTTTGTTGGGCAAAAAGGGGACACCCTACTGAACATCAACAGGGGGGAAGGCACATTTAAAAAAAACAAAAAAACATCTTTCTGGAGGGAAACTAAAAAAGTCGGATTGAGGGAAACTGAGCCCAACTCAGTGGGATCCAACCGCTGGAAGTGTGATTATCACCCAACCTGTGCCGAGTGACTATCATATCATACCACAATGCACCTCTTGATATTTGTCAGAATGGGTGAACATTGGAATTGGGATGGCTTTGATCTAGATGAGCATCTCAGATTTGCTTGGCCACGCCGCGCAGTGCCCCCCGACAGTGTGATCTATGGATTCTAAAAGTTTCTAGAAAGCTTTATTGTTAGTACTCGTAGTAGCGATCGCCTCCGACCTAATAGCAACGGCCTCCAACCTAATAGCGATGGCCTCCGACCTAATAGCGATGGCCTCCACCTAGTAGCGCCCTTTGCTACTCATTCCTACTTGTACCACTTCAGAGAAGTCTTGGTGTTGCTGGAATGAATCCCCTTTTGAGGAGTTGGATATAGTTGAAACACTATTTTGCTTCCCAAAATATCCCCAAAGCCGCATGATGCAAACCTGCAAACCTCAAAGTGCCCATGAAGTGCATCCTCAAAGGAGGGTGTTTTTGGTCGACCAATTAGGTTTCTCCATTCGACCTTTGCTTAGGTCACAGGGAGTTCTGTCAGCCTATCATCCAGCCACTTTGCACGCGCGATTCGGGTCGGGAGTCGGGAGTGGCTGGAACTTGCTTTGCGAAACCGGCCAACGTCGACGTCAGTGATGATCCTTGAAGTAGGTTTGTACCTAGTGAAGTGAGTGAAGGTCAGGATTTCAGCTCCGAAGAATGTATCTGCAGCCGAACAACAATCTGATGGAACACCAATCACTGAAACAGAAGAAGCAACACTCATGGACCCATGGCCAAACGCAGCAGTAAATCAAGATCATAGACAAACCAACGACGACTGGAACCATTTGCATCCATTTGCCACACCTAGTTTCCACCCGTGGACCGCTGGTGATTCCAAACCTGCTCCAGGTTTGGGCAGCCCCCCCTGCAGATTTCCGGATCCACGCACCAAGGAGATCTCGCCGGACATGGCAGAGAGGGGTGGTGAGGAAGGCATGAAGGACACCAAGGAGGCCGAACTCCAGGGGCCGCAGGTGTCTCCCAGTGGCTTGAAAAGTCAGTGTGGAACTCGATGACCAACAAACAATATGAGTGAGGAAGAAACAGACACCATGTCCTGGTATTGCGGAATCGATGATGTCCCTGAGTCAGATGTGTTTCTTTTTGTCCCGGTTCCTGGACAGCCAATCCAATATATGCTGCATGCAGAACAAGTGTCCTCAAAAGGCGCAGCAGCCTTAAGCACAGGTTGAGGCATCCATCATCATCCCTCCTTCGATGCCACGGATATATGTCTGGGTGTTATTTATGGCTGACACTGTCCAGAAACATATGTTGTTGCCACGGATGCTCCAGCGAACAAGACGCCCTTCAAACACCCCGTGGATGTTTTTGTACAGAAGGGGGTGTGAATTTCACTCTCTTCCGAGCCAGTCAGAGGGATAGCCTTTAACCACTGGATTGGGGACACCCCACCAAAATCCAAGAGGAGAAGAAAGGAGGGGAATCTTGCATTTGCAGGAAGTTTCTGAGGGAGTCAGTAGAAGCGCAAGATGTCCCGGAGGCCACATGAGGTTGGGTCATATGGTTTTAAAGCCACAAATGGACAATAGATAGCAGTAGATTAGATTCCCTTGGATCCCACCAGGCTCCTGTTGCAGACAGAACAAAACAAATTAGAAAGTCACCCAAGCAATTTCACAGCAAAAGAACCATTGCTGAGAGATCCTCCGGCCTTATAAACAAAGGATCGATGCAACCCCCGAAAACAATGCACACTCTGTAGGATAGATGATGTATGATTGTGTGGCCCTATATGAAGCGTTGTATCTTTCATGTACCAGGTGCTTCCAATGGGTCACCAATGGACAACCCTACCCTACCTAGAGGTCTGCATTGGGCACCCATTGGAAGTGCTAGGTACTTTTCTGTTGACAAGAAGAACCCTGTCTCTCCTAACCTGTGGCTTCGTCCGCCAGGTCACTTATCACCTTTGGCCGCCCAAGCCCTTCCTGAAGCTTCCAGTCGGGACGTCCCAGTCCGAGTCGCAGCCGGAACCTCGATGCTGCTCGATGTTCAACAAACACTTGGTAGCACCCGACTAGGACCTCTGACCGACCAGTGTTGCATTACATCGCGAATTCGAGAACCGCCAGTTGTATATTGTATTCGATTGTATTCGGGTCATTCACTTGGATTCTTTTATTCAGAAAGCGGTCATTCACTTGGCGGTCCTTTGGTCCAGGTGACCCGTCCTGAACACCAACACAACACCAACATCTGAACACATCTCCGGACCGGAGGAACCAAAAATACGACCGGATGAAGCGAAAAGCGAACTCAAGCGAGACAAGCGAACACCTCTTTCCCTTTTTTTGACTCACTTCTCGACTCGTTCGGCGATTTCTCTCACGTTCGGCTCGAACGAGTTTGCATCATCCCTGGAGCTGGAGGAGGAAGATCGAGGCGATGGAGCTGCCATGTGCGGTGGGTAGAAAGAAACACTAGGGAGACCTCCTGGTCATCCCTATCATCGCCCCTGGCCATGGGTAACTAGATAGTATTACAGTAAATGGGGGCAGACGCGGACGAGAGGTCGGGGTGCTCAATGAGTCTGGTCATTGGTCTATTGGCTGAGATGGGTTTGTTTCTGAAGGAGGAGACGCCCCCAGGAGGATCCCCGAATCCACATTTGTATTTTGATGTTTTTTGTACATTTGCGGAGGTGCTGTGGATTTTGGAGGCCAGATCGGCCTTATAGGACTTGAAACGGAGGTGTGAGATTGAATTTTGAACATCTTTCTTGGAAGAGTTCACAACTCCATACGAAGCGACAGCTCAACGGGAAGTGACAGCCTAAAGTCCTCAAGGTGCACCATATCTACCTGATAGCCGGCAATATCCGACAATTTGCAACTCATAATATTACTTATTACTTTTCAATATTGATATAGCTTTCCGAGTCTACCAACAGGAGTCATCGCCTGGGCTCAGTGCAGGAGTCATCGCCTTCTATCACGTCTTGGTGCTACGTGGCATGGAGCACGTGTGCGCCATCCATCGTGCTTCGCACTTGTTGATTTTAGTGTTTTAGGCCTTGAATAAGAAGTGCTATAGTTCTAATTGGTGGTCGTGAAGCTTTAAAGGACAACCATGCTCTTGGGCTTGGGGGTAGCACCTTCATTCCTGTGGATTGTCCTTAGCCCAAAGCAGTTTAATCAGCGATCGTAATTCTTCAATATGTGCTGTGATTGACGATGAAGCGACCTTCACAAAGGATTTGTGTGTTTGGCTTGGTTTAAGAGCTGAAGTTCCTGGAATTCCTCAAGATCAACTATCCCAAACACTCCATGTAAGGCATATATTTACGTATACATTGGGGTGGTTGATTGATTTGGGGTCAACGTATGTAAATATGCCGGTCCCATGGAGTGTCTGGGTACAAAAAGATTATGATAGATGATCGAACCCATTTCTGGCGCTGGCGCGCTGCGGAAGCCGCGCGCGGTTTCGAGCCCTGATTGCCTTCGCGTGCCGCGTCGGAAGAGCGTCGCTCCTCATCGTGGCCGGAACTGGGCCGGACGAACTCCGCGGACATTGGGTTCAAGCCCGGCGGGGAGCGGGATCAGCAGGCCAGGTCTGGCATCGGTGGCGGTGGCGATCAGGTGCCCGAGAGTAGCCAGTCAGACAACTAGACAACCTTTTGGGGGGGGTGTCAGGAAGGATAGAACAGGTGCAAAGAGGTAAACCTATGTAAACCTCTATTTTCCAGCCAAACAGAGGAAGTCAGTGGAGAAGATCCGTGGATTGATTTCACATGGCTTCTCATATGCCGCATAGATGTTTTTCGTCGTGTCCTTGGGGCTGAGGAATCAGTTTTTCGACAGTGTCATGGATCATGTCATCGATCTATTCCTCGGGCCTCAAGGTGAAGAAGCATAGGTATGGCATGGACCACGGACGTGTTTCAGCAGGAACGACTGCAAGAGGGTGCAACACAGGTGACATCAGTTTGGCGGAGTTTGTGGAGTGTCAATCCTGAGGATTGGTAGATAGACAGTATCGAGCATCTATTTGCTGATATGGTTTACTAGATGATTCTATCAATACGTTGATATAATATAAACTCTTCTCATCAGTGGACATTTATCACAGCAGGGGTGAATCAACTACTCATCCATCCATCCACCCGTGGCGCACTGAGCGAGCCGTTTGGCGTAGAGGTCCCAAAGCAGCATGCAATCGGTGTGGGCCTGAGCCTTTCAGAATGGTCGTGGTGACACCAAGCATCAAGAGCTGTGTAGGGGCATTTCATCTGTTGTACTGACGCATACGTGTTTAAGTCATAGTTCCGTCCAATTCCATCATATTAGCGATTTCTCGAAGATTTTCTGTATAGTCTTGCTCTTCAAGGGAGCTTGCAGAAATAGACAAAGCCAAAGCCGCAAAGCATTCCCTGGAGCTGGATCAAGCTGGCCAAACAGTTAGTGCAAAAAAGTGCATTCCCAGGCTTCGCCAATCAGGACTATATCTGATATATAGTCTATACTGTGATATTGCGATGTACTACTATTGACTCGAAGGGCAGGTTTTGGGAGGGCAAGTTGTTGATTGACTCTGCAATCCTATAGACTGGACTACTAAGCTTTCTGGGCTACTTGTACAACAAGCAAATTGTATCGCTAAATATGTCGCGTTCATCATCACAACCACAACGAATTTCTCGGTCAGTCACCTCAGGGAGCCTCCAGGAGCAGGAGAGTGTGTCGCTCACGAATCCGGGATGGAGAGATGACAATAATCAGGTAGAAAGTTTCTCAAAACACCGCACAGCGGACACCCACAACACAATCTTCTGAAACCCAAAAATCACCATGTGCCATGTGACTCCTTTTGAAGATACACCATGTGCCATGTAAGTCCTTTAGAAGATATGGCTCACCATGTGCCATGTGACTCCTTTGGATATGGCTTTTTCTGGGTCTTATTTCTCGGAACTCGACTCCGTTGGACGGAGAGCCAAGCGGGTCAACAGCTGGTAGCGTCTTTGCTGTGTAGGGCGATGTGGGGATCTCGAAAGCGTGACGCATGAGTGTCAAATTGGGGTTTGCCTGAAACGAGGAATGGGCAACCGTGGTATTCGGTATGGAAGACATGGGGCTTTCGTTCTTTTTGAGCCGGCAGGTTGTTGCCCAATGGGACCGTCCCTCGATTCCTTCCCAACCACGTGAGACGTGGGTCTTTCATCAGACGTGAGTCCGACGACCATCCGGACGAGACGGTCGGAGTCACCGATCGAGGAGTCGCCGGCACAAGAAGAGGCAGAGTTGACTTCCGGTGATCTGGGGAGTTTTAGTTCGAACGTTTCAGAAAAAACAGAAGCCTCTCGTTCGGTGTGGAGCCCCGGGCTCGGAGCTGCCTGACATCACAGCTGCCTCTACAAATGAAGTTGGAGTCGTCCACGCTCCGAATCAGTTTGGTGTCTCAAATAGGTGGCAGTGCTGTTTAACTTCGTGGGCGTGTGATCATACGCCTCACTTGGTTGATCTTGTTCTTGTGAACAACATGGGTCGACGATCGGCTCAGCTTGCTACATACTAACCTGCAACTTGTGATGGAACATACTGTATGGAACATCTCCGGAATTGCCCAACACTCCTAGCGTCGCTTTTGCGTGGTGTTCCTAAGCCCACAGGCGGTCGTGCATGCTTCATGGTTTATCTATCAAAAGCGCTCTCACAAGACAATATGCTGGATACATATGATATATATGTTGGTCGCAACATGGATCTCCAAAATACATCAAAATACCGATGTTTTGATGTTTTGTTTATTTCATCGACTTCAATCTGAAGAGCGACCTCCACACCGCGTGGCTCTGGGTCACGTGGCGTGGCACATTGACCGCAACAAGCACCTAATTCCCGGCCAGGCGGGAGAAGAAGACCAAGGATCGACGGAGAGGAGGCGAGGGCCGCGAGGGTGAGGCGACCTGGTCCTCTTGGTGGGTAAGGACTGCCTCAGAACATCCAGGCAGTTTGTTACGAGAGCTCGTTGGGAGTCCGGTCCAAACGGCCGAGCCCAAACGGTTGGTTCGTCTGCCTGGGTTCCTTGAGATATGCTTCCGGCATCCAAGGCATCCGAGGCATTGGGACTGGGTCGGCCCGGGCAGGGAATTGGATTCTGTAGACTACGTTTTTTCGTGTGCAAGAAGTTGGTTGTCCTCCCCCACAGCTCTGACTTGTATAGCACAGTACTGAGTGCTGAAGCTGCAATGGTAGTTGAAGGATGCGCTGAGGTATTTGAAGATCCCTGTGGTATCCTACTTGTATGGTGGCATTGAAGCGACATGTGACATGCCGCATGATGGTGGCACTGGTTCATAGTCTCCTGACCATCCTGATTTGGTCGGTCCCACAGCCAGATCTTGGGTCCGTTTCCAGGTGCAGATCACATGTTTTTTTTTTCCATGTGTTTTCCATGTTTTTCCGGCTATCCCTCACTTCTGGACAAAAGTCTCACTTCCCATGCTTCATCCACATATGGTCGACATGTGAATACATGTGACACTTCAGACCTGAGATCACCTGGCAGAATCTAATAACAATAAAACAAAACACGTCCTTCTTGGCTCGGGACCGTGGTCCACCTTCCGTTGGCCGTGGTGTAGGACCTCACCCTTTGACATGGACTCCCAGCCCAAAAGTTTGGGGTGTAATTCCCAAAAACGCTTGAGTTTGCTCCTTACTTGGAGCCGTTGAGCCGATCGTTTTCAGTTACCCAGACACTTCCGCAGGGCTCACCCCTGGGCGCAAGCGCGCCGGTCATCCGAACCGCGTCGAATCGCTGCAGGCGACGACTCGTCCGCGCCGGGGAGCCCCAGCTGACGCCACGCGCCATCGCTCGGGTGATCTGAGCGATGGTGATGATCAGAGGGTTGGGGGGGGGATCCATGTACACTCCATGAAAGAATCGATGAGTTTAGTGGTGGCTTTCAAGACCACCTGAGTTGGTTTGCTATGAGGATTTCATGGGGACCATGCCATCCATGTCACCATTTTCGTGTTGAAAAAGGAGCGTACTTGGGATCTCCTGGGATGTTTAGCACGTGTACCAATTTTTGATTGCTTCATCCACTATCCCCTCACGGCCTCTCCCTGGCTGTTGCCGAGCAACGTGTTGCTTCCAACGGCACGGCGCCCGATGCACCATCAACTACCTTTTTCACACCGCCCGATATGATGGAGAGCGTTCTCCGAATGTCCCAGATATTTGTGACCTCATCAACAGCAGGGGAAAGCCTCAAAATTGACTTGCGGAGGGAGCAGGGGAAAGCCTCAAAAATCTCAAAAGGGGGAACCCAGAATTTTCCTTGAAGATGTATGCAACTCACGAAAACTCAGGGTGGCCATTTTCCTCGCGCACGTTTTCAGATCATGGGAAAAGAGCACTGAAAACGAAAAGCCGAAACGAACACCTTGGAAGAGTCCCAGATGTCCTGCGGATCACAGTCTATCTAAGCAATGGAGGAACTGAGGACATGCGAGGCGAGGATCTCAGGAACCAGAGATACACTCCGACAAACACATCACATGGAAGTGGAACACCCACTGTTTCTAAAGGAAAGTAGTCTTCCTTTCGGGACCATGCCATCCACTTCCATGTGATGTGTTCGTCAGAGTGTAATCGAATTTTCTGGAACCAGCTGCGCTGGGCTCTCCCGAGATTTCTGCTGGGTAGTATTCTGCTGGCTCCCGTGATTCCGTGACGAGATGTGTTTTTTCTTTTGGCATGTCCTTCTCTTAGGTATATCATGGTATATCTTAGCCGTCTGAAAATGAGATGCTTCAGTCATCAGAACAATCTCGCAAGTGACCTTGCTCTTTGCCTTGACGCCAGAAGCAGTCGGGACCGCTGGTGCAGGTTCTATCCTGCCTTTGGATATGGAGGTCGGTCGTGTGAGGGACGTGTTGCAATAGAAGTGTTCCAGGCAGTCCTTGCTAGATCTGTTTCTGGCTTCATGAACATCCCTGGGTTGCTGTGATATAAATCTAGTTATTACAGTAGTACACAGGTTTTGCTAAATAAGGCAGCCTTGAGACATGGTGATTTGTGCCCAGAATCTCCTGCAATATGGCTATATGGCTCAGGCGCCCTGATCAGTGGGGACAACTGTTTGAAAGAAGCAAGAGCACGCTCCCTGATGCTCCCTGACCTGAGATCTTACCACCTGACCTGAGATCACCAAAAAAAGGAACCTAGGTTTCATCTTCTCATCATGAATTCTCACTTTGTTGGTGCCTGTGGTGCAGACCTGGCACCTGGCACTTTGCCTGGGTGCAGCATGCGATTGAATTCCTGATCGCGGCCTCCCCAGTTGGCCGGATCTCACACCTTTGTCCACCGCGGAGCTCCCGCATGGAAACGCTTCGGGAGCAAGCTGACCTTGTGCAGGAGCACCGACTGTGCCAAAAGGCTACGGCATTTCAGGTGATATGGAATCTTCTTTGGCCTGACACCAGCGCCAGATTGAAAGCTTTTCCTATGATGTGCGTTGCTGTACTACTGTACTGTATTGCTCTATAGTTACAAACTTTTGCAGTTGACCCACCACTACTGGAATCAATCCGCCCTAATCCGCCACTCTGGATGATTATAGAGATCCTTTTAAGAGGAAGTAGAGGTTCTTTTGCATTGCGAGCGGGTCAGGCATTCTCCCTTTGCTTGTTCAGTTGTGCTCGATCGGGAGACCGCAACAAACCTTCAATGGCCGCGCCTGAGGTTCCTAGATAAACAGCTCCCGAGGCTCCTGCATCAATTGACATGATTCCCTCAAAGGGCTCTTGGAATCAGTGAATCCCTCAAAGGGCTATTGGGAATGATCTACTGGCTTGAAGTTTGGCTATTGGGATGCCTCGATGAGCTTTTCCTCCATGGTTGGTCAACACACATGATGTGTTGGCCGGTTGGCCCGATCTTTGCAACCGTAACATGTGTGAGGACAAAGTTGTGTGTGAAAGAAGTTTGCAGCTTAGTAGTCCAATGTATGTATGCCCTCTTCTTGCACTTCTTTGGCTGTTCATGTCCTAGTCTTTTAGCAACTCAATCCATTGAAATTATTTTCGGGCCTAAGTTGGCACCCGGCTAAAAATGCAGGCGTGTTTGGCTTGCAGCACCCTTCTTGACCAAGGTTGCACGGAACCCTAGGCCCTAGACAGCACACTGACAGCCCCAGAGTTCCAGACCACAAGGTTAATTTCTGGCTTTGGCCATGGACAAACTGTGCACCATGCCCCCCTCCAGAAGTTGAAACCCAACAGCATTCTGCTGCTGGCTCTCATTAGGTCCTTTAATCATCATGCCATTTGGTTAGAGGTATCTAAACAAAGTCCTAATACACGACCTCCCAGCTAAGTAAACATATTACTGTAAAAGATTTTAAAGGTATTTACTGTATATATATATATGGTCTGCAAGTTCAGCTTTCTTACTAGAACTCGTTTTCTTTGGTATGAACTTTTTAGTCTGTCTTCTTGACTCATGATACACCTGACAGCCTGGCAGAGTCCTCGCCTTGAAATCACCAAGGAGAGTTTTAGCACATCTGAGTCTGAGTTCAATCAGTTGCCGACCGTCAAGAATGTCGATGTTTTCATTTGTCACTCTTGGTCATGCCCTTCGTGGATCAAGATCCTGGAACCTTGGAGCAGAAGTTATTGGACCGAAAGCCCATGACCTTGTTGCTTCTTTACCCAAACATCCTCCATGGGACTGGCATATTTACCTATACATTGGGGTGGTTGATTTGGGGTCAATGTATGTAAATATGCTAGTGCCATGGAGTGTTTGGGTTAGGATTCTGGCTTAAGTCTCCCAACTTATGTGACCATAGTCTGTGACCGCAGTCGATCTGATGAAACGTTTTCGCTGGAAGTCCCACTCTCTAAAGCCACTAATATATTGTTGTTGCTGGCTAGAATTGCTCGGCCAGAGGCAGTGAAAGGCCATCATACTTGCGCGACCATGTTTCCCCAACACTGCGTTGCAGTGGAGAAAATAATAGACAGATTGTCCAGGCGCTGACTTCAGGCTATTTGGATCCAGACTTTTTGTTTTGAGGATTCTTGCGGGTTATGATAGTGGAGTGATTGGAATTTTGAGGCAAGTCATGGTGGGCTAGGCACGCCAGGCACGCTAGGCACTTCGAAGTCCATCACCAGCAGTGCCCTCTTCGTGGCCGATGTCGTGGTGATTCAGAAAGCTTGTGTTGTTGTTTCTCGAGATTGGACACAACTGTGAGTCTAGCGAGGCCCTCACTGTTGGAGTCGTGTCAGACACTTCCATACACTCCCTGATCAATCATGGTGGGTGGGTGGAGTGAGTGAGTTCAGTGAGTTCACCACCTCTTGGCGTCTTCCGATGCCATGGCTGGTCATCCGAAGGTCCGGTTGGGGATGGCATCCCATCCACGTGACCGGGACCGTGATTCGGTGATGGGAGCTGGGGCCTGAGCCGACCGACCCTACTCTCTCTCTCTCATTGCTTGGGCCCCGATATGAGCTGAAGACCCTGTGGTTCATGGCACCCGGAACTCACCGGTAGGTTCACCATGTCTGGGGACGTCTGTTCTGTTCATTTTCGGTCCGTGAACCTACAGCCCACGGTGGACCTACAGGCCCTTTGCCACTATTTGCACTTGGATTGGGCAGTCCTTGCAGCCAGCTTCTCCAGCCTTCTGGCCTTCTTCACACTGGTGTTCCGTGCCGGAGGCTTCCAAGTCGCTGGCGAAGGGCCTCTCTCCGAGGCCCTGGTCTCTTGGCACTTGGCAAACCTCCCAAGCTGAAACCCGTGACCGTTCAATCATTTTTCCGAAGAAACATGGAAGCGAAAATGGATGGGAGAAGAAAAGAGAACATGGCAGGATGTGTGATGTGTGCTCCAGATACGTGTTAGTTCAAAGAGATTTGATGGGGCATTCGGGTCGGGCGCTGGTCAATTCCGAGCTTTTGCCCGTCCTTTGTTAAACACTTTGAGAGGAAGGTGAGAGGTGTGGGAGGTGTCCAAAAGGAGCTAATCTTTCGTTGTTCCTCACAACGGAGTCCACACTGGCTCTTGGTGTCTACCCTCCAACGAAGTGGACCACCCCCCCTGTTGGTAGAGGAATATGGTCTCCGATTCTCCCTTCCGGAGCCATGTTCATCCATTTTTTTCCAATTCCATGATTGTTTCAGAGAGCTTTTTTGTTGGACCTGTCGAAGGGTCACCACGTCCACCTCGCTGGGCACCGGATCCAATTCACCACGACCCACAGCACTCGGCGCACGGCAAGAAACGGCAGACCCTCTCTGCGGTTCGAGTTCGTTGCAAGGTCTGCGGGCCAGTGGCCATCTTTCTTTTGATCTACTTCTTTGGGTATTTGCCACTCGGCTGTCGACATCATCACCAGGAAGAGTCCGAAAAGCCACTCATGAAGGGGAAGAGCTGTAATTCCCCTAGAGTCCATATTATAGAGATTCTGGCTGAGGTCAAGGCCAAATTGCCAGTGGTTGCCCCTGTGTGTATATCGACGAACACACTTGTTGTAGAGCAGCGTTCAGGAAAAACGAGCACATGAGGTCATTACATTCTGTGTGCAAGACTGTGATGTTGATACCTAACAATTGACGCAGATCCAGGGTCAGCATATCATATCCCTCTATATCCCTCTATTAACCCAGAGAATTTGTCGTATCCTTCCAGTGCTTCATGAAGATTCTTGTGGCTGAAAGACGCAGTCCTTGCTGGCAAGTTTGGCTTCACATGTTTGGCTTCACATGGCTTCAGTCAGGAGCATGTTGTTGTTTGGGACTGTTGGACAGTGTTTGGGGTCTGAACGGCACATGTTGGACAAGGGCGATCCGAAAAGCAGTCTCGATGATCCGAAGAGAGGTCTTGAGAATCGTCAGAGAATCGTCAGAGAATCGTCAGTTCCATCTTAGGGTGGGTATACGGGTATACCTGGATTAAGGGTATGTCTTTGCTGATATACTTGTCTATACTGTACTTATCAAATGATTCCAGGTTCCAGGGAGGTTTTCCAGACTGAAGAATGATCCCACCAAATCCACTAGTGAAAAGGATGAAGGATGTGGCTCACTCAGGGGGGCTCGAGACCGGAAGGACTGCTACTGCGGTCCTAGTGTTAAGAGTTGGAGCAGTGAAAAACAAGGGGCATCAAGGACTCTTGAGGGTATGCGTTTGCATCTCAACCTACTGCTTTAGTTTGTTTGATACACACGTTTATGTGTAATATATAAGTGAAAGCAAATTGATATATATATATATATAAGTATATATATTTATTTATATATATATATACAGACCGGCACCCTCCAACAGGTCACCACTTGCCACACTTATTGTGCTGTACATATGACATCAATCGGGGCAGCCAAACGGCCCAAGGCTCAGATTTCTTGAAATTTCACCAACCAAGGCTGTGCAGCAAAGCCCTGTGGTTTGACCGCATTTGCGTGAACCAGGTGGATCTCGTGCGGAAAGCCAAGACGATCCAAGGCATTCCAGCCTTTGTGTCACAGGCAGAACGAGTGGTAGTTGTGTGGGACGATAGCCTCCTGGTTTTGCTATAGTATATAAGTTTATATAGTTCATGTATGGGTACATTCATTTCCTTCAGCGCATCTGAGAAATATGTTATCTATTCTTCCTGAAAGCAATTCCAAGGCCTGTTTCGTAAGTTGTGGTGCATTTATGAAATCGCTGTCCGAGCCAGAACCTCGAGCTTTGCATCTATCGATTTCGTCCCGGTGTGGCTTCCAATCTTTTCCTTGTGTGGCATCGTCACCTACGTCCTTGCCGCTTTGATGACCTTGTCGGTGAAATCACAGCCAGTGGAGGGGGACAGAATCTCCCGCGTCATGCAATTCTTTTGGTTAGCCTATGGCCCTCCTTTCATGTACTTCTTTTGTGCGATTCCCACGACCTACTTTTGCTTCCTGAAGCTCGAATCCCACAAGACCATGCTGGATCAACTGGCCTCTTTCGACCTGAGACTGGCCACATGCACTCTGGAAACCGATCGAATTATGATCCGGCGGCAAGTCTTGGGCTTTTTCGATGAGGCCTTGCGGCCTCCTGTGTCGGTCTCGGTAGACCAGCTGCGAGCATCCGAGCAACCCTTCCATGGGCAGAGGATGGAGCTTGTCGAACCGGATCCACAGGAGGCCGAAGCGGATCGCTTGTTCTCGCTAGAGAGCGGCCTTCGTTCGGTCACGAGCTACCCCTCACAGGAGCAGATTATTGATGAGTTCAACGCTTACGTGCGCGGTCCGTTGCGAGAAAATATCGTAAGTTCTTTAGGCCGGGAAGACCACATCCCGTTGAAGGTGTGCTTGGTGGCATGCTTGCCCTCCTTGGCCACAGGATTGGCTCTCACCATCGGCTGTGATGGTCACAGTGATTGCCACGTTGCGGCAGAAAACCTGGGATTCCATTCTGTGAACTGGTACCAGGCTACTGACGCGATACTTGTCTTAATTAGGATTAATTGGGTGTAACTGCTGGATGAACGCTTGATGTTTGTCAGACGATTTGGAGGAAACTGAATTATCTGAATTGTTTCGAATCCCTCTTCGATCCCCTTAACTTGGAAGAGGAACATGTTGATCCAAACCAAGTAAAGAACTTGGAAGAGGAACCTGTTGAACCAAACCAAGTAGATACCACCAAGCAGCAGGGGGCATAGTCCAACACCATGAGTTTTGTTTCCAGCTTCAAAAAGCCTTCTCCGAGGACCATGACTCTTGTGTTTTGGCCTGTGGCCAATCTCGCGATCATGCCCTTGATTCTGCGAAGCAACCGACTGGTCCATCAGCTGAATTGGGTCCAAGCGGTTCGAATTGGGGACGTGGTTTTCTGTGACTCAGAACACGGACAGGGAATGCTTCCCCGCTGCCGTTGCCAGCACCCGCTGGGTTGAAAGAAGTTCACTCTCTTTTTGCAGAGTGTTCCTGTGTAGAACTATGGTGAACGATGACAGCAGAACCTCCTACAGAACAAAAGCTGCTAGGATCTGCTAGGTCTAGATACCAGTGATGTCCAGAGTCCAATGCATGAGATTGCATGAGACCTCCTGTCTCAAAACCCTTTATCTATCTCTCTTCGATTCATGGGATGATGCCATTTTCGTCTATATGATATAAGGAAACCATGACCACTCGTCGTGTAGAGTGTAGAATTGCACTTAAAAAAGACTCGTCCGGTGCCATGACCCACAGACGGGCTGGATGTTTGTGCCATTGGAACCCTGATTCAGACGCAGAGGTCTGAGGGACTGCCACCATTGAGAACCCTTTGCTTTCCCTTGTCAAACCATGTCAATTGGATCCAGAAAAAAAACATGTAAGACGGTAGATTTTTGGACATGCCATATTATTGCCAGTGCATGTATATGATATAATATATCAACGACATTAAAATTATATAGATATGTAATTTATTTGTATATTAACTTGTATTTTAAACATATTTAGTATTGTTATTATATATCTATGTCTTAATTCGCAGTAGCAGCTGAACCAATGAAGACATTCTGCTGAACTGACTGAGGGGCTGAATGGGGGGAATGTTGAAAGCTTTTGCCAAGCTTCTACTCTTGGGTTCACTTTCTTCAGGATCCTAGCAAAGCAACAGCCATTCATTTGACCGTGGAACCATCCACGAGTGCATTTTACTAGTTAGGCCCAAAAGGCCAAGCAAAAGTAAAGGGACCTTTCGACCACTTGAAAAAAAAGGAACACTTTCGACAATTCCAAGTACGTGCTAACATGGGAGTTCCATGTCCGTGTTGGCCCTTTTGTTTGATTGTTTTTTCAATGTTTCTGAGGTGACCAAAGTTGTCAGCAGCCCGTCCTTGCGTTTCTTCGCAGGGCTATTATTCTCTTCCATTGTCATTAGCCTGTGGGCTGGCCTTGGCGCTGTCCTGTCAGCCATGTTTCCTGGCTTGATTGATTGGTATTAAATGTTAACCTGCTTTGGACCATTGGAAGAGGCGCTCAACTGGTAAGAAGCTGAACGTGCTAAAGCTGCTAGCCAACCGTTCCCGTAGTTGCCCTTGTAGCTACAACAAAAACAACAACGGCGCATTCGGTTCTGTTTGCGATAGATTGGAATGTGTCCGGTGGACCAATCGTGTAAATGTTCACTTCAAAGACCTGGTTTTGCTGTGAATTCCGCGGCGAGTCCGGGTTTCGACGACGCTGGTTGGGACGTACGCTGGTTCGGTGCAGTCGAAGCAACCTGGGAACGGTGCATGGAGCCGGTGCAGTCGCTGGTGTTTCCGAACCGGGAACGTGCGGCCTCTGACGATGGCATCCTTCACAGAACGTGGCATCCTTCACAGCGTGTGAAAGCACACTGAATCAACGGAGATGAGATTCCCTGAAAGAATCCATGGGGCCAGTGGAGCGAGGGCCATCCACCTGCTTGGGTATTCGGAAGCATGGTCTCCCAAAAACGGGCCATCTACGCTGGCCCATGATGATTCCAGTGTAGGCAGTTGTGTTCAAGTTTGTGTCACATTGTCACAGCATCTCACAGCTGACCTTCCCCTGGAATCCATTGGAGATATTTCACAGGTCAGTGTGCATGTAGTTGCGTGGCAATTGCCTGTCGAGCACTCATGAGGTTGCTGGTTGGTGCAAGTGATGCGGATGCCTCGCCGCTGTGGTTGTTGGGAGCCATTGGCGGTCTTGCTTTGCAGTACGTGCTGGCGTATGGTTTGTTTCTGGGAAGCCCATGTCCGAGCCAGCATTGCGCAAAGCGCCAACTGCGCTAACTGCGCTCAAGCCAAGGTTCCTAGGTCGTCTTTTCAAGGCAAGGTGGCGCGTTTTGAAAAAAAGACAACTTCGGTGCTGTGTGGATTGTTGGACTGCCTTGACAGGGAACAGAGGTACAGACGTCAGAGCTTAAAATTTAGGCTCAACTTTAGGGGCGTATATAGTGGGGAACCAGGGCGTAGTCCAGGGGCCCCTAAGAACCACTCAGAACCCAGCTCAGGTTCTTAGAGGTTCTTTGAACCCCCAAAAAACTTTTAGCCACTCATAATAGCACTTGTTGTCATTTCCCAGTATTAGTAAATATGTAACAGCTATCTAGAGATGCCATAAGCTGTATATTTAATTGAAAAAGGTGCAGAGTGCGTAATATATCTTAATATCATTGTATTAGTATTCTATTGAATCTTCAAAATCAATCAGCATGCCCGGCATGCCCTACTTCAGAAATCCAATCATTCATGTTGAATGTGGGTTCTTCATTCATGATTTCTAGTGTTGATGGCATAGCCCTCTTGGAGAGGTCTTTTCATTTTACCCAAACAACCCCCCAATATGCCAGGATCTGCCAGTGGCAATGCAGCATCTCCAGGTTCATCTTCTTTCAACTCTCACCCAAAATGTCATTCAGCTGTCATTCCAAGTGATAAAAAGGGTGCCTTGTCAGCTCATCAGTATTGATCTTTGGGCATGCCCTTTCAATCACACTACCAATGGTCCTTGGACAGGAAACCATCGATTTTTCAAGTCCAAACCAATTATTTCATTTTGAATTTTCATTGAACAAATCCACCATACGTTATTGAAACTCTCTTAGCCCAGAACCGGTTCTAAGAACTCCCTTTTCACTAAGAACCTCTAAGAACCCAAAGGGGGTTCCAAGAACCTTTCAGAACTAAGCCCCTCCCAACCGTGCCCCTAAAGTGGAGCCCTATAGCCTATAAATGTATCGCAAACATATTGTCAAGTAAATATCAAGGGTGAGTTGTCATCAGTGATTTTGACAGCATTGGATGGCCACACAACACCTCAACAAGCACCAGCGTCAGTCTATTTGTCCCTTTGAACATATGTTGTGCTTTACTTTTATCTGTCACTGTTTGAACATATTTGGCTCACTCTCTGGAACGAACTCATGGGCCAAAGCGGATGGCTTGAGTTTGGATGACCATGTTTCCTGTACCAACCAGGGAGGGGGTGGGGTACAAACCACCGCTTCCATGTTAGATTCAGGGAGAGCAATTGCTTTAATTTTAATTCCTTTTTCAGCGATCGTTGTGATGCACGAGCCTCCTTGTGTTGATGTTGGGAGGCCCGTGGCACATGCCCCAGCCTTGGTGCCGACGAGTGGCGGAACATCAGTTCTGGACTGGGCAAGGAACCTGCAGGATGATGAGTCTCATCCTGAAAGAGGTACACTCTATGTTTGAACCAAAGCCATCCATAGTGCACATATCGCCATTTTGGAGATATGGACCTCGAGTGTGTTCCGTAGCTTGTCCAGACCGAGTTCATTTGTCCAAAACCGGCTGAACCTGCCACACTGCCCAGGGCTGTTTGCGAGCAGGACCCGGATGGTACGCAAACTGGCCGGTGATCTCTTACTGGTCACACCAGCTTGACACATAGCTTTGGGACCTTGGGATCTTGAGTGATTGGATTTCCCATCACTTCCCCATCTTCATGAGCTTCGTCACCACAACTCACCTTTGATATCTTTTGATGGATCCAAATCTACACACCACACAGGGCCACACCCCCAAAAAAAAACCATCAACTCCGTCATCCCTGGCACATCTAGCAGCTTCCTATGGGACACCACCCGCCCCCGGTGGGTGTCCCCAGAGGAAGAACACCGGACCCGAGGCCCTATGGACCCGTAGACGATGGGGTGGATGTGAAGGCGTGGGCCGCCGATGTGGCCCGTTCGCGGCCACGAACGTCCCATCTCCTCAGGTGACCGGTGGTTAGATAGACCCCAATCGCACCCACCCCAAGCACCGAAGCTGGGGATATGGGCCAGGAGTCTCAGGGTAGTGTATGGTGTATGGAAACCCTAAGCTTTTGAGATGGAGGAAGCTGGAGGAAGGTGGATGAATCCTCATACAGTACACGTAGTGCCCAAATCCGATGTGTGGAATTTATAGCGAATCGTCGGTGGGTCTTTTTACAGTGCGTTGGTTCGAATGCGCTGCTTCGAAGATGTTCAAAGGATCTTAAGCATCCTCATTTTCCAGCGTTACCACCAAGAACTCCACTGATGTGGTTTGCTTTCTTCGGACCGCCGTTTGTTGTTTGGTATATAGACAGGGAGTGACTGAAGGCTGAACGGTATAAGTGGATCTACTAGGAGCTACAAGAAGCCTTATAACATGTTCATACATTTTCTAACAGCCTGGTAGAATGGATGACGGCCCCAGCTATCGTTGTTCATGGTGAACATGGGACAAACTACATACGAAGACCAGAATCTGACAATCAAACAATCAACAAAAACAAAACAACCCCGCAAACTTGTTCCATGATCAGAGCAACTTCCATTTCCCTATGGATCCACTGAATCCACTGCCACGCTCCCGATAGGAGGGGTGCGTTTGGGGGTGTTTTCCTTGCGCCAGGTGAGTTCCAAGTTCCTGACACGGAACGACTATTGCAGCTGGCCTCAGTCTCTCAGCGGCGCGCGGAACGTTCGAACTGAGTGCCGTTCCTCGTCCATTCGGAGCGCGGAAGAAAAAGGAACGTGCAGCTCTGTTAGATGTGACGAACACCAGCTCTGTTAGTCACAAGGTCCACTTGATGTCACAAGGTGTTTTTTTTATTTGGGCGAATTGCCAACGAGAAGAACCAACGGGGCGGATGATGGCATCAGATCTTAGAAACGATCATCCGCATTCAACCCATTTACATCGATGTTTCACCAGGTCAACCAGATCGATACTTCACCAGGTCAACCTGGTTTTCCAACGCCAAGAGGCTTGTGGTCTCGCACGGAATGGTCTCCATATCCTCCTGCTTCGCAAGGGTTTGGGGCCCTCCTTGATCAGTACACTGAACTCATCATGGTCGTGAAGTGAAAACCATTGGTCTTCAGATGTCATGGTCATCATGTCTTCGTTCCATGGCATCCCATCCACTTCCATGACACTCCAAACTGCAGTGGAGTGTCGCCCCGCCTGCCCCGCCTCCCACCGGTCGTAACCCCTCCCAGCCGCCGTGGATCCTCCCAGCCCCCGACTCGGACGCGGTTGATTTGTTTGACCTCGGAGGTCAAACCTTCATCGACACGGGACTTCGCCCGCGGGGGCGACCCAGAGAGCGCGTCTGTGCGCCGCCGCGCGAGAAGACGCGCGGGTGGAACGATGGTCCGAACTGCGCAGCGGACTGCGCAGTGAGCGTACTGTATTTGTCTGGCTCTTCGGCCAGACTTGGTCAAAGGCTGCTCCAGCGGTTCATTTCCCTCGGCTAAGGCAGAACTTCATCCGGGATTTGGATTATCAAAATCGATGCTTGGCTTTGCCAGGATGTGTTCTTCTAAGAAAAATCCACATTCATGAAACAATTGAGAGATGCCAAAATTATTACAGCTTGATACAGCTTTTCAATTTCATATCCGATTTCGGACTTCCAAAAACGCAGCCGAAAACACACTGCAAGAGAGGCTCTTTGAAAAGAAAAGACACACACACACACACACTGCCAGTGATGTCTTCGACCAGTTCAAGCTGAGTTGGGCGCAGCCGCCTTGGTTGATAGAGGAGACCCCCCAAGTGTCGAAGCCAATCGGTGTACCAAACGAACCCCCCTTTTGGACTCCCAATAAGACATCGTTGGACGCGTTGTTCGTGTCGAACCCATCGCAGCAATGCTCCGTTGCGCCTAACGTGTTTGGACGTTGGCTCACCTGCGGTGAGGCACGAGGCGCGTTGCCGGCATGTCGGCGAGTCTCCAAGTCGAGATCTTCTGATCTTCTGATCTTGTTCGGCGGGTTGCTGCTTGAGTTCATTGGTTCATCATTCGTTCATATGAATTTGTTTTACAGTAGTTCTCCTTAAATGGGAAGGCCTCACAATCCTCACACGTGGTCTTCACGAGGCTGAAGACAGGGGCTCATGGCCGGCCTTTCATGCTTTGTTTGCCGAAGTCTCCAGGCCATTGTTTGTTGGTCGATCTGGTTTTGTAGTGTAACACCCTTATATCAAACACTGGTGCTTCGGGATGACCTGGCCATTAAAACATAAAACCATGTCTGGGCCACGACCGAACGGGCGGATCCGAAGTGCCCAACGCTTCTTCCGTGTCTCGGTCGCTCCGCGCGGGGCTGTGAGACGAAAGAGTTTCGCTCGTTTTCCGGCCCAGGATATTCGGAATATCCCAAGATCCAGCGCTTGATCAAGCTTAAGGACAGCACTCGGAAGCGGGCTTTCTTTTGCGCGGGGGGGGGTTGACGCGTCTTAGTTGACGCGGGGGTTTGACCCAGTTTTTTGCGGGGCACAGTGTTTGACCGGAAGGCGGAATCTGATTGAACAAGATGGAACCAGGGGGCCGCTTGACTTGTTTACACTATTTTTGTCGTGCTGTCCCATGTTGAGTGGGTTGAATGGGTCGTACGTTGGCGGAAGAGGGAATAGAATCAGTTGGTCTTCGACCAAAGTTTAGGTCAACTACAGAAGTTTAGATAGTAGATCAATCGGCTTGGGTTGGCTGAAAGAAGACCCATGGCCTGGTGGGATACGGCACTGTTTAAGTCAGAGAAGCGATGTTGGTCGAGCCGGTGGCCACCTCAGGACAACATCTTGGCGAAGCGAGCCTCTCCGGGGATGTTCCTGAAGTGCGACTTGAAGTTCCTTGGTGAGTGCTATTAGGGTGGAGGCCATTGCTAATCATTATAGGTTGGAGGCCATCGCTATTGGAAGCCATCGCTAGTAGGTCCGTCTTGGTGAGTGAATCTTGTTCTTGTTCAATCCTGTTGGGCGAAAGGATTTTCGGACAAAAATGGAGTGAAGTTGACTTGATCCTATTGGGAGATCCTGGCTCAACGTTGAGTATGTCATGGGAACAGAATGGGAAGATCAGGAGTTTGGAAGGAGATGGCCTTGACGGTTGATGCACACGATGTTTACAGTATACTGCCTGACATGGGGAAACCACAAGTAAAACATGGTCATTATAGCTCTTATATCCTGCTGCCAAGCGCCCGGAGGAGACTAGCACTGCACTTGGGCTTGGGCTTCCCCTTGCCTAAAGCAGGATGCCTCACAGGCAGTCCAGTAGGTCGAGACTTGCCAGGGTTCCAAGGGAGCAAGATCTCCAGGTTCTATGCCGGTCCTCATCCTCGAATCCAAGTTTATTTGGCCACCTTTGGGGACCTTCGAAGTTCAGACGCAAAACACTTGAAGCATCCTCTTGCTGAACTGAACAGTGTTCAGTGGAGGTCCACCATTCGACCACCCCAAAAGGAGCATAGAGATGCATAGAGTAGATAATAAAGACATGCACATCCAAGCAGCGCACAGCTAGCAAAGCCTTGGAGGTTTACACTGAATCCTCCTCCAAAGTGGTGTGGGACCGTGAGATGCCGTCTCTTAGGATGGAGTCAGATGGCCGTCTCATCCCCAGTTTCACCGCCTCATGCCACTGGGTTCGTGTTCATTTTAGCACCTATTCCATGGGCATACTGCTGGGCCACCAGCTGACTAGTACTGGACTATATAATAGAAGAAACAACCTGCACCCTTTCCTGAGAGCAAAACGATCCTGTCATATCGAATCTATCTCACATCTATCAACCTACCAACCCCCCACCAACCCCCTTGGTGGTCCACCCTCTGCTTTCGTCCTTCCGGTCCTTCTACCGAGGACCTTCGACTTGGCGAGTGAGGGCCACAGAGCGGCGGAGGAAAGCAGCAGCATCTACTCATTAGAAAATGCTGATGCAAAAAGAAGAATAGAGATTCCAAGAAGCACAAATGGTATGAACCATATGAACTCCAAGCAGTTCATCATGTCCGGCAAAGTAGCAGATTACCTCATGCTTTTCCTCTCCAAACATACATGCACTCCTGAAGTCAAACGGACCATATTAGAAGGTGTTTCATACAGATGGACGAGTTCCTCCACCTGAGTGCTAGTGCTGACCTCCTAGGCCTGGGCACCAAGTTCGATGTGGTGCTTCTGGACCCGCCTTGGGAAGAGTCCGCTTCCCACCGATGGGACCGGACGGAGGAAGCGGAGCGGACCGAGGTGACGTGGCCCGTTGGCTGGACACGGATGCGAGCATGTTCAACGAAGCCCAAACGGTTGGAACCACCCTTCTTGCGGGCGATCACTCACGAGATGTTAACATCCAAGGTTGAAGGATGTTGATCCAAGGTTGCGATCTAAACAGGCCCAGGTCGCAGCAAATCACACCCCCTTTACATGTTCGTCCGAGCTTGACCTTGCAGGTACCAGACGCGGGTGGCTGGCATGTACGTGCCTGATGAGGACCTTATTGTCCAGTCCGAGGATGAATCCGTGGGCCACGTCGTGAAATCTTGGTGAACAAGCCCTAGGGCTCCTGGCCCATATCCCCAGAAGGTGGTTAGACCTCCCAAACCCACCCCAACCATCTTCTCAGGAGGTGGGCCAGGAGCCCTAGGGAAGGTTGGTCCGTTCCTCTCCGTGATGAGTTCGGCTCACCCCCGGAGGTTTTTGCTGGCTTGGGGTGCTAAGGTTGGAGCCTCTCCATTTGAGCTTTACACTCATTATTACGGAGGTGGACGTTCTCCTGGGCCCCCAGAAGACCAACATTTCCTGAGCGACAGGTGGTTTTCACTGAGTCGACGTCATTGGCGCTCTGCCCGCTCTCCACGCGCTCGCTCCAGCCTCCAGGACCTCTCCACATGGACGCTGGACGAGCTCAAGGCGTTGAAGGTGCGTTTGTCCTAGCATTTCACCGGGGAGACGGCGTCTTCCTGTTTGAGCATGAGAGGATGTTTCCCCAAGAAAACCTCAAAATCCACGGAATGTCCTGAAGATCAATGAGCGAAGGCTAGGCTAACTTGTTTCGTCTTGTTTCGTGATTGAAGGTTGTGTCAGGCTTTTTTGGTTTCAGAATGTTTCAGACTGTGTCATTCTGTTCCTTCTTGTACTCTTAGAATGCGCCAATTCCCGAAAGTCCTCAAAGTCCATGCGCCAGGTGGGTGAGGTGGCTGATCACCAGTCCTTTGTTTTCCTCTGGTGTGGCGAGACGTCCGGGCACCCGGCTGGCGTTTACCGGACGGTTTCGTTTCGTCGTCCGATTCCTTCATCCCTTAGGAAATGAATCCAAGGTCCCCCCGAGCTCTGGGATTGTTTACTTGGATTTATGGATATTTTATGGTCAAAATTCGTACAACATGTCCTAAGGAAGGGGGTATCCAATCGGTGAGTTCGATGTGAACAATTCGAAGGCTAATTGTTGACAAGTTCATTCATGTTTTCCACCTAATTAAACTAGATCGTTCAAGCCCACACCAGCTCCCATAGTCAGCCAGCACCTGAGGTTGCCTCCCCTCAAGTTCTCGCACGATATCACCCCATCATCATCATCATCATCATCATCATCATCATCATCATCATCATCATCATCATCATCAT